GGCCGTGTCCTACGGTGGTTTGTTTGTCTTCTGGAGCGGCATTTTTCAAGAACAGCGCATTCGGCTTGAAAGTTTGATTAATTATTAATGCATTAATGCTTGATAATTGAACCGAGTATCTGTCCGCTGGAGCTCTGGGAATTCGCTTACGGAACCCAAGGGTTCCGCAAAAAACTTCGCCACGGAACCCCGAAAATCTCGTGGCGGAACCCTAGGGTTCCGCGGAACCCCTGTTGGGAAACCCTGCCCTAGAAGCCTGAAGCCATACAACCCGACATCCCTGAGATCCGCTGTAAAACAAACGACGAAAAGAAAACCCAACAAATCAAGCGAAATTTTTTTTCATCCTTGTTGCTCAGCCGCCTGACGGCTCTCCCGCGACAGAGCGAGCAGGCCCATGGCCTGCACGAGATAGTTTCTATCTCGGCCTCGCGCTGGGCGAGCGCCGGATAGACCTCAATGTGGTCGTGCAGAGCGCACCGCCTTACGTGCTCCCCCGCGGGGCACGATGTTTCGAGGGGACGGGGGGCCACAGCACGTCGGGCACCTCTGAGGTGCCCACCGTGACCCGTCGCTCGTCGTCGGGAACTGCCGCTCTAGGCAGCACAGATAGCGCTCCGCGAGCCAAGGGGGCGGCGGCGGCCGCCAGAGCAGCCGCTGGGGCACCAGTTCCACGGCCGAGGGCCGAGCGCACTCCCCGTAAAGGGAGCGGCTCAGCCGACGGTAGGGCGCTTGCTCGACGAGCACCATCGACCCCCAGGCCAATTTGGAGAGCCGATTGGTCTGCGCGACGCTATACTCCGCGAGCACGGGAAAGTGCCGACACAGCTGAAGAACAGAAATGAGGGAGAAATTAGCCATCGAACTCGAACAGCCGGATCGTCGTGCAACAAAATCTCAGGGAAACCTTTCAACGTCTCAAAAAATAAATTCAAGTGCCGTCGGACCATGACCCACCTCGGCTTCAAAGAGGCCCCGGGGCGAGCGGGGGTACGGTGTCGCCGGCCGCTTGGGCCCTCGGTTCTTCTCGGCGGGGCCATCGCCCTGGGCGGTTGGGGGAGCCATGGTACACTAGACAATGTGAGTGACGAATGTTCGTGAGTGGAGATGTGCGTTCCAAGACTAACGGGAAGCAAAAGAAACGCAGAGTGCGCGGAGACATCGAGTACAACCGGCCACCAGAGGGCGTGGCGGAAATTGGAATGATGCGCGGGAATATTTCCAGAATTGTCAGACCCCACTCTGACAATTCGGCGGGGGACTGTCACGAACAGGACCAGGTCCGTTGCGTCATTATCAATCATTTATTACTCCCACCACACTATTCCGACCATATTACACTCTATTTCAATCACATCACACATCACAACACACACTCCCAGAGAGAGGCCTAGTAATCAGGCGATATGGCTGTCGGTGGTTCTGTTCGTGACAGAGCTGTCTTTGGCGAGAACTGTGACGTCACAAGCCAGTAGCAACCTCGACATCGGTAGCGCCTGATCACGCTCAGCGCTCCCCGATATTTCTCAGGACTCAGGGTTCAAATCCCTGGTCCCGTTTTGCGAAGAGATAGGTCTGGGTCACGCCCCGCTATCTAATTCATTCTCCCCAAGTGCGTGCAGGCTAAGAGTCATTTCTAGTGAATCCTTCGTGTCCTCATTGGAAGTGCCTCGAAGCTGTGTCACAGATGGTTTCTCAACGTGATGTATTTTTGAAGTTCTGGTACTGAGCGCTGATGAACAAACATCTCGAATAGTTGTGAGAAATCTCTGAATTGCTGTACGTTGCCATCGAACTTCGGGAGTTTTACAGCTTCCTCCAGTTTCGGTAGAAATTTTGCTTCGCTGTCGAGTCCCTCGGGCGGAAATCCTCTCTCTAGTATGTTTGCTAACTTCTCCATAGGATCTTTATTCTTATTACACGAATGATGTTTCTTGTCTGTGATCGTATTTCGAGCCATGGCCGGTGGCTCGATTTTTTCCATCCTCTAGAACTTCTGCTCCGAATGGCAGCTTGGGTTGCTTCTCTTCGCCTAGTGGTCTGGCCACCCAGAGTCCTCTTCGTCAGAAGGACAAGACTCGGCAGCGAATTCGTCCCGGGAGCTCAAGAACGCAACTCCACCAGATGTGGACACTGTTGTGATATACGAAGATCAATGAGATGGTCTTAATCCTTGGATAATCCCGCGTAGAGTTCGAATCGCTGCCGCGCCGAATACAAAGAAAGCAGTTGTGAGCCACCGCGCTTGAGAGACTACGTCGTGTCCTCATTTTCGTGGAAAAATACCTGCACCGAAGATCTGCTCGCCGAGTAATTTACAATAGGTTATGGGCCTGGTTCGATCCTACGGCGTGTAAGTACAGTTTTGTGAAGAAAAGAGCACCAGGAACTCATGAAATCACTGCTATCATCAGCGGAGAAAAGAGGGTGCGCTCCGACTGAACAAGCGTTCAGGGCCACCCGGAGACCGGTGACGTCGAGCTCTGGTCACGACAAGAAAAGGAAAGAGAGAGTACAAGACAAGAAGAAGCATTTCCCTTGTAGGAAACGCCACCAACTCGGTCACTGAGCCAGAGAGTGTACGGCGGAGGTTAAAGACGACTCGGCGAAGACAGGCTTTCTGGCCCATGCTCTTGGAGCACTCGAGGGTCATCAGGAGTACGAAAACTGGATATGCGACAGTGGGGCGTCCTGCCACATGACGCCACACAGAGAGTATTCCGGATCCATCAAAATGTTTGCAGAGCTAAACGAATCCAGCTCGGGAAATGCGGACTATTCATGGAGGCAACCGGCGTCGGAAACAAAAGGACCGGAGCACTGCTTTGCGGACGGTGGCGGAACTGTGAGCTCCTCGATGTGTGGTTCGTTCCGGAGGCCGACGCAAGCCTCTTCTCCATGAGGGCCGCCTCGAGGCGAGGCCTCAGGGTCGAAATGGAAGAACATCGCGTCGTCGTCCTCGATGGATTTCCGGATGAAGACGCCAGAAATCGAAGCAACAGCGAGTCTTGCAAATGGAGAGGAACGCCTTGAGGTGTATCACGAACGTTTGGGACACCACACGCTCGACGAGACTCGCAGCGCGCGATAGATTTCGACGGCACCTTCTCGCCGGTGGCTAGATACGGCACAGTTCGGTTGCTATTGTCGATTGCCGCATCCAAAGAAATGGTTCTGACAAGTAAACATTCTTTTTTGAAAATGACAACCGCCTGGTTTGACATGCTTTTCTGAAAGATTCCGAGCCCCGGAGCAACCCCGAGTCGTTTTTCCCTGCTGTCCTGCATTTCATACCCCTTTCTGCAGGCTCCGAAACCCGGAAAAAACACCATTTACATTGAAATCCGAGATAATTTTCTCGGATTTTGTAGGAAATGTTTTTTCCCCAGGTTCCGGAGCCCGGAAAGACCCATTCCCATTGATATCCGAGCCGAATATCCCGGATTTCGATGAAAATGGTGTTTTTTCCGGGTTTCGGAGCCTGCAGGGAAGGGGTATGAAATGCAGGACAGCAGGGAAAAACGACTCGGGGTTGCTCCGGGGCTCGGAAACTTTCAGAAAAGCATGTCAAACCTGGTGATTGTCATTTTCAAGAAAGAATGTTTACTTGTGAGACAGTTGGATGTTTGCATGTAGGTCGCGCCGTCTTGCGGCAAGTTCTGTACCATGGCGGGCGAGTCCGGTCTCTTCTCTTTGCGGAGAGAAGAGAGCGGTCTTTCGGAAGTCGTTTGTCGCTCCAGTCTGTTCGGAGTTGTTTCTTCACCGACATGGCCCAAGTAGTTCCAGGAAGGCGCAACACCCGCCACCTGTACTTCCACACCCCACTCGGTCCAGTCTCTAAGTTGCTGCTTGACAACGACCTAAAGAGTACTTGTCTCCGTGTCCGCGACTGCCAATATATCGCCAGACATTTCTGGTTTGAGCTCACCGAAGGGGGAACGGCAGCCGTTCCGGGACTTTTCCCGTTTTTGTTAGGAAGACGACCGTCTGTCCTCCGAGGCCCCTCCTGACTCGCCAACTTCGCTACCGCCCGCCCCAATTCGCGGCCCACGCCAGCGCCTATCTTCGCCTCCTGGACAACCTGCAGACCGGTAAGCCACACCAACTCACGGTTCCGCTAGAACGCGAGCCGATCGACATCTGTTGGCCTGACGTCCGAAGTCTCGAGGAGATGGATGAAGGAACCGAGAGACGACGAGCTTATCGGCTCCAACTGATCCAGGATCCGCGCGTAGCGCCTCAACACGAGCGGCCGCCGCGGCCCGTCGACCCCAAAACCGGACAGCCCGTGCTGCCCCCGACTCCGCCCCCCAATCCGCAAATCCGACGCCGGCAGCCGGCCCAACTTCCCCCGGCCTGGCCGAGGTCCTTGTCAGTCTACGGAACGCCCGGCGCTTCGCCGGAAACTAAAATTGATTTTCTGCTTGAAAATATGTTTTCCGGACGAATAAATGTCTTCCGATTCAGAGAGTTATATTCCTTGGGAGAATCGGGTCGAGTCTCAGGGGGTGTTTAGTTTTCACTGGGACGCTCTATCGGGTAGAGCTTGGTAATCGGACGGTGGAAAATTTGATTCGTGGCCGTTTTGATGGTGCACGATCTCGACTTCCCAGGCGTCGACTCGTTCTTGAGTGCTATGACTTTACAGAGAGGCCAATACGCGCGGTTGGCGCTCGAATGTTCCAGCAGGCAAATGTTGCCGATTTCCAGCGGCCTGGCCGGAACGGGGAGTCTATATGAGCTGAACTCAGATAACTCAGATATTCGCGGTGAAATCTCTTCCAGAAGGTAGGTCCTCTGTAGGTCCATCTCCTGGAGAATATTATCTTGTCCGAATCCTTGGCTCTCATCGGGTTGGCGGCATGTTGGGGGAAGGAAGTGTCGCCACGATATCCGTATAGGAGCTCCATCGGGCTGAGGGCCTCAATGGAGTCGAGTCCGGATGCAACGGTTGAGATGGGGCGTTTATTTATCATCAACTCGATGTTGCTCAAAATAACCTAGAGGTCCCGAAAATGGGGAACCGATGTTCCGAGAACTTTTCTCAACGGACGCTTGACTGATTGGACGAGACGCTCGTAGAAACCGCCATGGGAAGGAGCGTTCGGGGTAATGAAGTTCCTTCTGATGAATTTGTCTGCGAGCCATTTCTTGATTTCACCGTCGATGATGTGTTCGTAAAGGAGCTTGAGTTCCTTTGCTGTCCTCTGGAACGATAAGCCGTTGTCTGATGTGATCGTGGTCACCGACGGGTATCGGGTCACGAATTTCTGTAGAGCTCCAAGAACCTCTGAGGTTGACATGTCGGATTTAAGCTCGAGGTGAATCACTCGCGTGACTGCGCAGACAAACAGGAGAATGTAACTTTTCGCTTTTTCGCCCGCGTCATCTTTGTACTTTATGGGCCCAGCGAAATCACAGCCTGTGTGATGGAATGGTGGGGTGGTTTCCAGCCTGAATGCTGGTAACGGAGCCATTGGGAGGCTTGCGGCCTTGCCGTGGAAAATTTTGCATGTAGCGCAGGAAGAGATGACCTGTCGCGCTAGTTTTCTCGCGTGAATGACGAGAAACTCCTCCCTAAGGATGTGCAGAGGGCCGGAGACGCCGCCGAAGTGTAGGCATTTTTTCTCGTGGATGTATCTGATAATAAGCTTGGAGAGATTACGGTCCGCTGGGAGAATGATCGGGAATTTCTGCTCCCGCGACGAATCCGGAGCGAATTCTAATCGAGTCCTGCATCGGAGCATACCGTCCTCGTCCCTGAATGGGTTGTACTGGTATAGGAGGCTCTTTGGTCTGACCCTGGTGTTGTCCGAGTGGATTTCTTCGGAAAAATATTCCCGTTGAATCAGTTTGATCAGACTCAGCCTGGCTGACGACATTTCTGCTGCGTCGATTGTGTTCAGTTCGCTCTTTGCTCTCGCAGTACACCTACTAGAATTGGTCTGTATTCTTAATCGTGCCGCGAAAGCTTTTTCTTCCAGACGAAGCATGAATGCTCAGAAACGAATAGCTTTCAACCAACAGGAGAAAGGGTACAGCCGAATAACGTGGCGATCCCGGCTACGATCTGTTTTGGAAAACTGACTAGATAGGGTGATAGCTCTCGGTTAGTAGAATACTTTTTCACGAGTCTCCCAGAAATCGACGCGGCCAGTTTCGAGAAAAAGGTCAAAGTTCAAAAATCTTAAAATGCGATTTTCTCGGAAACGGTAAGAGCTAGAGGGTCGTGCTTGGTCTCGTTGGAAAGCTGGCGAAAAATGCCACAATTCTAGCCCGGTCCCATTTTCCTCAGTACTTTTCATCATCATTTTTTTCCGAATTTTAATTTCTTCAAGCTCCCAGACACCGAAGACCTTCGTGAACATGGATGACACTATGTCACAAAATAAACCCCGTAAACCCATGTACACGCACACCAAGTTTCATCAAAATCGGAATAGTCCAAATAGGTTCATTCGCGAACACTTCATTCCCTACCACTGATTTCCATGCTTTTTCGGTAAAGGCCCATTGCCGCTCCCAATCGCTATTCCTTGGTCTGACTCTGACCCAGGATCTCGCGGGACACATTTTAATCTTCCCGCGCATCGAGCAGACGCTGCGCGCCCTCCTTGGTACTACACTTCGATCGAATTGACCGGCGGGGATTTTTATTTTTGATTACGATGATACTTAGGAGCATGACATAGATCCCGAATCAGTCTTCGTCACTATCTTCGTTAAGAACAGGAAGGGTAGCTCCACCCCGGAACAGCGACTCAAGAATCTCCGCAGGTCTGACGATTCGGGAGAGAGACGTTCTCCCTGTCGGATTCGGATTCTCAGCTCGCGCGCGAGAGGACTAGATCCAGACTGAGACATCAGAGTTCGTCAGACAGCTCTTCGGAGCAAGAGATTCTTTGGCTCTGATATTTGATGGAACGTATATTCGTCGCGGTAAAAGCGCAAACAACTCGTACCAGAGAAAATCGTACCCAGTGCAGAAGAAAGCGCCACTTTGTAAACCGTTTACCACCTGTACAACCACTGGATACGTCATCGACATGCTGGGACCCTACAACGCGAATGTCAACGATGCCAAAATCATGGTGGACGCGATGCGAGACCCGACTGGTCTAGGCGGTTTCTTGAGAGCGGGTGACATGTGTTTCGTGGATCGAGGCTTCCGGGATGTGAAGACTCAGCTAGAGGAACAGGGTCTCACTGTCTACATGCCGGCCTTAAAAGGTCATCGCAAACAATTGCCCACGGATGAGGCCAACGCTTCTCGATTCGTGACGAAAATTCGATGGGCGGTAGAAGCTGTACACGGTATAATCAAACAAAGATACAGACTCCTGGATCATCGAG